CACTTGATGAATAGAAAATAAATGGCATATGTTTTAAATTTAATGTCCTGGTTATTTACATGATTTTTTTTCCTCAGAACATGGCCATTATTACCTCATTTTCATCATGTGATGACCAGAATAAACATATGAAATTAAATTGCAGTTGTAAAAGATGCATTATTCATTAAAGCTTATATTCAGATCTGGTTATGGAATTATTTTTGGAGATACACATAGCTTTCATTTCATAAAATGTGCAGAAGAGTGATGGTTTGGAATGTCAAAATGTTAAGTAATAAAGTGAGAACAATTTTCTGGAACATAAAAAAACATAAAATACATATCACGTATGCATATTAATAAAATAGGTTTGGCTAGTTAATGATTTCAAAATATACAAAGGAACACAAATTGTGGTAAATGTAAATAATATAGCGATTAGACAAGGCCTCTCATTACTAGAAACACCTAGACCCTTTTTACATGCTTGCAATTATGGAATTATTGTCTGATCATTTTCAAAAAAAATTAAGATTTCATTGAATTGATTTGGTTTATTACAAAGAAAATGAAATGCAGCTCTGGCTGATATATATTGCCTATTTTACATTCTAACCTTCTAAAATAGTAATGTGTTCCTAATAAAAACATAACAATACAAAAGTAATATGTATGATACCATTATAAAATACTAATAGTAGTCATAATAATTTAGGTTATGTTGATAAATATTATATGCAATTTTTTTAAGGATTTTATGAATAGAGTTGTAGAAATATGTACAAATGCACAATACAATATTATTGCAAATTCAGATAACATTGAATTTAAAAAGAAAATTGAATTAAAATAGAAAGTACTGTTATTAATAATACTTAAAAGGATGTTCATGAATAGAGTTATTGTAATATATACATATACACAATACATTATTGCATTTACTCTAATGCTATTGAATGTAAAAAGAAATGAATTGAAAAAGAAAGCACTGTTATTAATAAAACACTGTTCTTGAGTGATGTTCATGGATCGAGATGTAGTACATACATGTACATGCACAATACAATATTGCATTTACTTAATAAATACCACTGAATGTGAAAAGAAAATGATTTAAAAAGAAAGCACTGTTATTAATAAAACACTGTTCTTGAGTGATGTTCATGGATCGAGATGTAGTAATATATACATACATGTACATGCACAATACAATTTTGCATTTACTTAATAAATACCACTGAATGTGAAAAGAAAATGATTTTAAAAGAAAGCACTGTTATTATTAAATAATGATCTCTTCTTGAGTGATGTTCATGGATTGAGATTGAGTAATATTTATATATGCACAATACAATATTATTGCATTTACTTAAATGCCATTGAATGTAAAAAGAAAATGAATTAAAACAGAAAGCACTGTCATTAATATTTCACTGTTAGTAAAGGCTGTTCATGAATAAAGTTGTTGTAATATATATACGTGTACATAATACAATATAATTGCATTCACTTAAATGCCATTGAATGTAAAAAGAAAATGACTTAAAACTGAAAGCACTGTTATTAATAATGGGAAACTGTAGTTTTACCCAAATCGATGGTTGAGGAGAAGAATCCATAAAGCAATAAAGAATTTAAAAGGTAAGAGTTTAGGAAAGAAAGGAGAGTATATTATATGTACTGTTATAATTATTACTACTGTTATTTAATTGACCAAACATAAAAACCACATATTCAGCACAATCGTAAGTGACAAATGCATAATAAGAATCTAATGAATGAATGAGTTTGAATAAATAAATAAATAAATTTTAATAAATAAATGGATTGGCGGCAGCAAGTGGGTCAAGGTGCATAAACATGAAACACATTTTCATGAAGTCTCTACATTGAATATTGCACATAATTTGAGTATTTACATCAAACAATTAAAACAAATTTGGAGTTTATATATTTTGTGACTAAAAATAATGCATTTACTATAGTCTTGATGTAAACATTATACTGAGACACCAAATAACATTACAAGCAAATACTAAATTACGAAAAAGAATGAAAAAGTGGCTAGTAGAATGAAAAACATGTATGTCTCATGGTGCCATACATTGGAGGAGATGAATACAAATGTGGTCACTGAAGTCCTGTTCTGAGTGATTTGTTTGATTTTGTTTTATATCTGCCTATACATAATGCTACACATTATGCTCCAGCACTTCCTTTCCATTAGCTGGTAAGCATGGATCTGTACTTTCTGGTGTTGTACATGTACTTTGCAGTCTTGCCAATTCCTTTGCTTTGCAGCGATACATACATATACATGTACATGCTAGGCTCACATTAGTGATAGCCAAAATAGAGATTACCGTAATTAGTGTACAGATCACTGTCCAGTAAGAAGAGTTCTTGTGATTTTCAGGATATTTTGGAGGAGCTGTTACAAAATATGAAGATGATAAATCTATGTTTTCTATGGGGATGATGTGGGTTGATGTTGGAAGGTGTGTAGACATTACTTGCGGACATGGATCTGCTATGTCAGAGACACTATCACTCATTGGATCCCATACCCAGTCTGTACAGTTACACTTATCTTGCCTCTCAGTTAAGATAGAAGAACAGCAATATACCAAACCAACTAACCTAGCTAGGATGAGCTGTTTTAATTTTCCACCACTTTCTGTCAGTTTATTCCCCAGGGGTAATCTTATGTCATTTTGATAACATAGAATCTGGCCTGGCAGAGTCCCTAGCAGAGCTGTACATTGCAGTGAGACCCACTCCCCATCATTATAATCATTGCTTTTTTCACACAAGGCCTTGCCAAGAGGATAATCAACGCCCAAATAGATTCTAGGATAGTCGGGTAGCATGGCACCACTCTTGTAAGCAGTCAGAATGTAGGTACCTTGATCAGCTCTTGACACAGGGTTTATGGTTAGGTTTAGGAAGCACTGGTCAAGTCCTGTCTGATTATAATTTACAAGATTTTGGTTTGAAGACAGTGATATGTAGTGTGGATCAGCTGATCTGTAAAATGGGCGTGCATTAGCATGTTGTAGTGTAACTACTGTACTGTCACATGGATAAGGGAAATCAAGTTGTGCCAGTTCTCCCTCTGTCGCTTTCAATATTCCTGATTCACATTGGGGCAGATTGATCAATGCTATGATAATGAGAACACCGCCCACTTTACAATTGGTTAGAGCTCGATACAAGTTGCACATACTTTCAAAGTGCTCTCTTGAACACAAGAGAGCAAGTTTACTTTACTGTACTCTATTGGCATCAGTTTTCTTCAATTTTACTGCAAGAATTTTCAATAAATGCCACTTGCGCCTGTTGATGAACAGGGCTGGTTCTTTGTTGCATCCAAGTATCAATGATTCTCTTTGCTGCAAGGCTTGCGTCTGAAAATGGATGTGTTGCTATTGTCATACAGATGCAGGGCTGCAGTCACAATGTTCCATAGCCTTTCTGACAAAGTCTATTCTGATTTTAAGAAGGTAGAATAATTCTGTGCTACTTCCAAACGTGTTGTACCGGAACAAATGTGTTGTGGTGAAGTCCATGAGAAATGCCTGATCATATACAGCAGGCAAATTGCAAAATAGTCAAGAAGCAATTTTTTGTAATATTTATTCTTCAGATAATGTGAAACGTAACAGCATATATATGGGGCACTGATAAAGTTCATCTCGTAGAAAAGTTGTAGGTTGTCTTAAGTGATATTCCTGTAAAATTTAAGATATATAAATGCTTTCAAGCCATCTCAGTATTTGTAAAAGTCTCCTGCATTTTTGTCATTTTTTCAGATAAACAGAATGGGTACATTGTAAATGCTATATTAGCTTCAAGTAGAAATTTAAATTTGAACTGATCTTTGGAAAGGATAAACATGAAATAAAAAATAATTGGAATATTGAGATACATTTTGCAAAAACATAATGAAAGTACTATGTACTAATATCATAAATGAAAAGTAAAACATTTTACATAATAACAGAATGCATTAATTTACATTAGTACATTTTGATAGTGGTTGAATTATCAAAATAGATTTTATAATAAAGTTGACAATCAAAAGTCCACACAATATTAAATTAATATGAAAGTTATGGTAATGGCCATGGCCGTTAAAATAGAACATTTGTATTACCGGTATTTAGAGAATTCAGTAGTCATCGGTTTAAATAAACTTGTATACTTTTTGGTACAGTCTTCGATGGCTATTTAACGATAAAAAAGTTGAATAATTATCATCTTACCTGTGAATTCAGAAGCATCCACTCTTCTTAAATGCAACCAGTGCTATTGATCAAATTATTTGCCTTACAATATGCTGAGAGCATACGATGACAGATGGAATTCTTCTCATGCAAAGATTGATTTTCTATTATGCAAATGTAAAATTCTCAGTAAAAATCAATGTAAAAATCAATCAGCTACAGATGTTTTAAGTTTATCACAGCTTTATAAAATTGCACCTAGAAATGTCTTTTTTTACAGTACATATAGTGTGTTACGTTTAACAGCACGGTATCTAATGCCTGATTTTACCTTGTACCTATCCATGTCCAGTGATACCTGTTTTTAAAGACCACTATAGGGAGGCAAGAAAAGGGGTCTTTATAGGCAGGTTGTACAGATTCTTTAAGTTAATGTTTCAATGAAATATTGTATTCAAGAAAAACATATAATGTGTTCTTTATACAATGTAGATAGATGGTCTTTCTATGGTTGCCAAAGCAAGTTTGACTGTATTTGCCATGGGATAGACATTCCAAAGGCTGCAACATTGTGTGACTGTAGTGTTTCCATTTTCCAGATTAGTCTATACCAGTGTTAATAGACCAAGTTGTAGAATTACGGCTTTATTGATTTTCCAATCACCCTATCACTATTTTGTTATTGTTGGAGGCTAGGGAAATACCATAATGAAAATGATTCTAAAAAAAGAAATGGTGAATGCTGGAAAGCAGTTGTGTTGCACAAAGCAATTCTTCCGTCACCCGGTGCCTATTGTTTTGTGCAAAATGGCGACCTTGCAGGGAGAAGAAAGCAATCGATGTGTTGACGATTTATTCCTCATTTTTTGTTACGCAGCGCTATCCAGTACCCCTGGAGTTCAAATGGGAGCAGTTGCGAGCCCCTTTTCCCCGCCACCCGCCCAGCAACAAGCAACACCCCAGCAGCAACAGCAACCATCGCAGCAACAGTCACAGACACCTACACCTCAGCCCCAGCAACCACCCGTGACCCCTGCACAGCCACAACCTAAGGGCACCGGCCAGGTAAGAGAAATTAATCAGGGTATTCTTATCGGCAGTTGTTATTGCATACCTACATGTACCCCCCCCCCACCCCATGACACTGCAGGCATCCCCTACACACGCTCACCTATACACACCACACCCCCCATACACACCCACATCCCCATACACACCCAAACCCCAAACACACCAACACCCCCTTACATGCCCACACCATACTCTCCCACACACACACACATAACCGATCACACATACATGTACACATACTCACTTTCACACAAGCACCGTTTCTTATTAAACTGATCTGTAAGATCTGTTTTCTACTAATTTAGTCAAACTCAACCATGAGTCTAAAATATCACTTTTAACAAATTCACCCAACAATTTTTGTTACGAACCTCTTACATATTCATATATGTTAATTTTGCGCCTGAGCACAATACTTGCTGGTGAAGGTGATTATCTATTTAAATCTAAGACCGTGTTTGTCACAGGTATTTTATTATTTTGTTTTGTATTGAGAGTTTGCTACTGTTGTGTTGTGAATTGCATGAATATGTGTACATGTATGTATAATCTTTTTGCGTACCTGCCCCCTTCTACCACCCCTCCACTTCCCCACGACACTGCAGGTATCCCCCCCCCACACACACCCTCACTCTCACACACAGCCACCCACACACACTCACTTTCACACGGGCACCATTTCCTTACTGAACTATACCGGGTATTCTATATTCTACCAATTCAGTCAAACGCAACCAAGGGATCTAAAATCATGTTTAACAAAAGAAAACTTACACCTCAGACCAACTTCCTTTGTTTAAGAGAAGGTTGAGTTCTGGGAAGAGGTGAACAATAATTTGTGAGCGTTATCATTCTTATTATTTAAGTGTGAAAAGCATGGCTCTTCAAATGCCTTAATACACTTATTATGGCATGTAACAGCATAAAAATCGGGACAGATTTTTATGCCACATGTTCCTGTAGTCACATATACATATTTCTGTGTACAGTGCTTGTAACTTTACTAAGACTGAGCCACATTTCTTATTTTGATGATTCCAGAACCTTGCAATACATTCCAATATACTTATATGCTAGATGATCAACCTAATTTTCTGATCGATTCCACACCATTTCTTTCTCAATGCAATCGCATGACCAGAACTCAACTTTATCTTTAAAACCTGATTTTTGAAAACCTAAACCCACAATGAGGATTAAAGCCTACCATTGGGGCATGAGCGCATTGGCTTGGTTTCAAACTGCTCTTACACTGAGCCATCATGCTTCATGCATGACATCTTTCAAATTTGCCTAATGCAAAGAAAATAATCACAAGTTTCTTACATCAAAATAATCAATCAATGACATGAAATTCTACTCAACTTTATCTTTAAACCCGATTTTAGAAAACCTTAACCCAGTATCAGTTTCAAATTCTAGTAGAATACAGGGCTTAATGCTTGGATTAATGTTGGACTGAGTTTCTATACTTTTCAGTCCCTCTCATGCTGAGCCCACATACATTCCCAAATTGCGCAATCACACTTGACGTAGCTCACCTCTTATGCTGCATATAGTTCATTCATGAATCGAAACTTACCCTTTGGAATCTGGGAATTCCCCTTATCAATTGCATGTACTTGAACTTCAATTTAATTCATATTGTATTGTATTCATTTTGTATTGTCTGAAATCATACTTGGCTCGGAGCATCCTGTTTGGTTCATAAATACCTGAGGACTGTTAGATCAAAAGTGGTTTATGACTGGTATTTCTATTAATATCTCATCCGTACCTTGCTTGGCTCTTAGTACATGTACATATATTTTTGGTTCTAGTTGTAGTTTAGAACTGGACTAGATAGCTCAAAATCTCAGCTTACTCTTAGGCCTACGGTAATCACCAGATATCGGTACCAATAAGCTCTGCACATGTAGATTGTAAATCAAACATGTTTTGCAAGTCTTTTCAGTTACCAGGAGCAGTAAGTTTTGCATAGTGTTCTTTTGTATTACGCTATTTGAATCACTACTGTTTGTGACCTAGTCATGTCAATTCAGATTGACATTCAAATTTGTATGAATTCTTTTTTCATTTTCAAACAATAATTCTACTTCTGAACCAAAGTTAATGCTCTAAGATCTCTTATAGGCCATGCCTGCAGAAGACCTAATGGATCATGACGTTCAGAACAGCTTAATGGTATTTTTCTGCAGCATGACAGGTTTGCAACTCTAGGAACTCCCAATTGAGCATCTTAAGCACCAGTTGACAGCAAATTTGCCTTGTGCAACCGAGTAGCTTTGCAAAATTATTTATTTCAGGTCTTGAGCAGCTCCATGACGACTCTTTTTACACGGTATAGATTAATCTTGTATAGGAAACAGTTGGATAATGGTGAAGCCTTTGGTACATCTATTCCATGGTAAATGCAATGTGGCATGGGGTGATTATATGTGTGGCATATATAAAGAGATGAAACCAGACCAAAAAAATTGTTTCCTTTTTGATATAGCTCCCAAGCAACAAAGACCTTTCAAGGCAATTCACCCCAGAGCAATTACAACGCATCTTCCAGTTGAAGCAGCAGCAACAGCAACATCTCAAACAGCAACAAGTGCAACAACAGCAGCAGCAACAGCAGCAGCAACAAGTACAACAACAGCAACAACAGCAGGTGCAGCAACAGCAGCAGCAACAACAACAACAGCAGCAACAGACTCCCACTCCTGCACAACCAAAGGGGATGTTCCAGCAGCAGCAACAACAGAGGGTGAGTAGAATAACATTTGTTTTGCTCTAACACTTTCTAGGCCCTTTTCATAAAGATATTTATAAATAACAACCGCCTCAGATATGTGACAAAAGCTGATTATAGCCAATCAAATGCAAGGATTTCATTGTTGTATCATAATTATCATAATTATCTTCATTTGATGTCTCAAGAGAACACCTTTGTTCCTCATGGAACTCCTTAGGTCAATTTTGGAGGGTGTTTCACAAAACTTGTCATCAGTGACAAATGACAGTTTTTGGTATAAGCTACTGAAATCCTTGTTTCTGATTGGTTATCAGCAGATTTGCCACTGATTTTTGTCATTTTTCATTGAAAAAAGGCTTTGTGAAATGGGTCCCTGATGGCTCATCTTTTTTTTTCTTTACCGTATTTGCCGGCGTAAAGGCCGCAGTATTTTTGGAAGAGAAAATATCAAAAAGTCGGGGTGCAGCCTATGCGGCGAAAGAGTAAAAAAAAAAAAAAAAAAGGAAGTCAAAACCAGCACGAATTTGGACATATGGGACTACAAACGGTAAAATAACTATACCACTATGGTACAGGACATTTCCACACATCTTACCAACAATTTTAACTTGCATTGTTGACATGAAGACGAAAATAAACTTCCAAAAACAACATCTGCCGATAGATCTTGATCTAAGTTCGTGCCAATGCATTGCAAAAGTAAAAGAAGGGCCCGTTTAATGGAGTTGCCGCGAAGCATTCATCACGCGAAGTCGCTATTTTGAATCTATTTCAATACACAAGAGAGAGGCGCAAGGTATACATCACAGAAAACTGCACATGCTAGCATCAGTGCGGGATGGCCGAGCGGTCTAAGGCGGTGATTTTGGTCACATCAACATTTGTACGCAAGAGATCAAATCCCGACTTCGACAAAAAATTTTTTTTTTTTTTAAATGTCAAAGATCGGGGGTGCGGCCTATACGGCGCTGCGGCCTTATCGCCGGCAAATACGGTATTTATTTCTTTGTGCAAAGAAAAGATTTCTGTTTCTCTTCCATGCATTTCTAAAAGTGAATAAACTTAACATTTTCTTTATTATTATTTATCTTTCTTTAGCAACAGCAGCAGCAGCAGCAGTCTGTGGGACCAAAGGGTAACATTCCCCATATGATGTCTCAAGGGAGTACCTCAGTACCCTCACCTATGCCAGGCCCGGGCATCAATCAACATCAACCTAACGTCACCATCACCAGCTCACAGCCTCTCTTCCATGGCATGCCATCTGTAAGTTTATCTTGATATCATACCTGGGGAGTGTTTCACTAAGACTAAGATCAACTTTAAGTTGGACTTAACTATGGCAGGCAGTTCATGCCACTGTTTGCTCTCACTGGCATTGGTCTCTCAAGGGACTTAACAATCAGGGTCACAAATCTACATAATTTACCTTTTATGATAGTTCATTATTGAAGGAAAAAATATTATCTAAAGATCATAAGTGAGAGGCCAATGGTGACAGCAACTAGTGGCATGAATGGCCTGCTATAGTTAAGTCAAACTTAAAGTTAATCTTAGCCTTTGTGAAACAAGCCCCAGACACAATAAATCAATGTAAAACCACAATCTGTTTGAGGTTGTTTGAGGATTGCTTTTACCCGACTGCTTAATAGAAAGCATGTATATGCTTGTAAGTAAGCAACCAGGGGACCGACGCCTTCTCAGAGGGACTTGGTAATGAGGATTAAAGCCTTAATACCAAGGGGCATGAGCGCATTGACTTGGTTTCTAGAGACTACTGCTTTTACCCTGAGCCATCGCGCCTCATGCATAAAATCTTTTGAATTTTGGTTAATACAAAGAAAATAATCACGAGTTTCTCACATCAAAATAATCACATGATTACATTAAATTCTTTTGAATGGGGCCTTTTTGGGCAATTCGTTACTAGTTTTACAGTAGCTTTGTGATATGGAACAATGCACATGTTATGTAGAAATGAAATTCGACTTATTTTATAATTTAATCAGCCCATTTTTTTTTAAATATTGTAGAAAAATGCCAGTGTATATTGCAATTCAATTGTGTCCCGTGTGATTATTTTGGAGCACGTTCAGCTAGAATGCTTGTGCCTAGATTCATAATAAATGTGGTCCTTGTAGACAGGTGGTCTTTGTAGACAGGTGGTCAAGCAGGTTTGACTGCTTTTTATGTTAGTTATTAGTCATTTATTTGTACTTGTTATTGCCATCCTGCAGGCCACAATAGCGACATCGGGTGGTGCAAGGGCGCCCTCTGGAGCCCTGATGGCAGTTCAACAGATCAGTAAGGAAGCAGAAAAGCAGCGCTCACATACGCAAGGTTGGTCCTTTTCTTAGTCATTGTCAAAGTGTTAATGTTTATATGTACATGAATAACGTGAATGTTCTTTTTTCTTGGGTCTGATATTAAAGCATAATTACATTATGTAATGTGGCCTTCTCTTTCTGTTGGGATAGAGTAATAATGTTGTGTATTATTATTATTATTATTATGGTATGTATGTTTAGAAAAGGTTTTGATATTTTATTATCATTATGAAGTTGATACATAGCAATTATCACATCCCTTGACTGTGTGATTCCATGACCACTTTGTTACAAATTTTAGAGTTAGTACATGAATACAATCCATGCATAAATCGCTCAGAATATCCAAGCACAAACTTTTCTATATAGAAAATGTAACTAACTGATGTTACTATTAAAAGGTGGTAAGCCTGGCTTAACTTAGTCCACACTTTTATGGAGTGCATGTTGTAAACTCATTTACCCTGTACAGATTATTTTAATCCTGCAATGAAAAGTGTCCAAAAAACTAATTTTGCAATGAAATGGGAAGAAAAAGATAATATGAGTATGAACTGAATTTCTACAAAACTTTGGTAGATTTTCTTTGTCATGAATATTGAAGGAGGAAGATGAAACTAAGCATTCCATAGAAGTGTGAACCAAAATTCTTGTTTAGTCTGGACTTAGTCCCGGCTTAACTTATGAGAATACCACCCTAAATATCTTAGCAGGTCAACACATGAACCAGTTCCCATCGCAGCAGGCCACACCCCAGCAATCAGGACCAGTAACTCCAGCCCCAGCTCAGAAGCAGGGTAGCGGCATGGCAACCCCGCCCACCTTCGGACCCCCAGGAGGGAACCCTGCTATCCCACAGCCCACCGGCATGGGGCCAAATGTTATGGGGCAGCAGCAGAATCCGGTGAGTTGGGGAACGTGATACCGGTGGTAGTGATGGTGGCGGTAATGGTGATGATGATACCGGGGATGGTTATGGTTATGATGATACCAGTGGTGATGGTGATGGTTATGACGATACCAGTGATGGTGTTGATGATGATGGTGATGATGGTTGTAATAGTGACCATGGTGGTATTCATGTCGATAATGATCGTAGTGGTAATAGTGCCAGTGATAATGATGATTGTGTTTTTGTCGCTGGTAATGGGGCAGCAGCAGAATCCGGTGAGTTGGGGTTGATGATACCGGTGGTGTTGTGGGGTGTTTTTTTTTTTGGTGGTGATGATGATGATGATGATGATGATGTTGATGGTGATGGCAATGATGGTGATGGTGATGATGATAGTGACAATGACAATGGTGAAGGTGATGGTGATGGTGATGGTGGTGGTGGTGGTGGTAGTGGTGATGATGATGATGATGGTGGTGGTGGTGGTGATGATGGTGATGATGGTGATGGTAGTGGTGGTGGTGGTGATGGTGATGGTGACGGCCATGATGATGATGGTGATGATGTTAGTGATAATAACAAAGGTGATGGTGGTGACAATGATGATGATGGTAGCTGTTGAAATGATGATGATTATGGCCGGCATAGTAGTGATGAAAGGAGAGCAATATTCATAATTCATTTCTTCTTTTTTTTTTCTCAGGGAGTCAATCTTCCAATCCCACAGCCTACCGGACCTATGCCTGGACAAAGCATGATGCAACAACAACCGGTAAGCTATGTCAAATAATGTGAATTTAAAATTTCAGTAGAAGGGTATTTCTAGAAGCAGGAGAGAAAGAGAGAGAGAGACAGAGAGACCGAGAGAGACAGAGAGGAAGAGAGAGAGAGAAAGAGAGAGGGTGTGACACTCCTCTCTACCCCCCCCCCCTCCCCTCTCCCCTCCCACGCTCAGAATTGTTTACCAGCAAATCTTGAATTCCAATATTGCAGAACATTTCATCACCCTGTGTTCATGTAGCACTTTTTCATATAAAATCAGAGGACTTGGGGGAGGGGGAATGGCTTATTTAGCAAATGTTGCATTTCATCCACACTTTTTGCCTGAGTTTTGAGTTGCTATATGTATATAGGATAACAGCTCATTTTGTATAAACCAAAGCCCATGTCCTCTTGAGGTTACTACATGTATAAATGTACAACAGGTTAACTAGGTATTTTTTATTATTGTTATTTCTTATGTTTGTAAACTGTATATTCTATGTTTCTATGTGCTTAAAGTTGGCACCCGAAGAATCAAAAATGTTTTTAATTGATGCAAAATTCATATCATTGCGAAGGGGAATCCTTACTGATTAAATAAAACAACTTTCCTCTTTAAAATATGTTTGGGGCCCGCAGTATAAATCACCTCTCAAAAATGTTAATTTCAAGATCCAGATTTTCTGCCTTCAGTGGTATTCCGTAGAGTATCAAGATTTGTGATGTCACATGTGAGACACAGCCAGCCAGGAAATTGCATTTTACGCCTTTCCATGATATCTATATGATTTATCAGCAAATTATTCATGTTCTTTAGGAGAAAACCTCTCCATCCGTACATGTATATAATTTGTCCATAATTATCAGTTGTTGTGAATTCTCTTCGGGTGACTACTTTAAGGATTCACTTCACTCAGGTTTAGCTGACGTTTACCTGATAATGTTTATCCTATGTTTTAACAGGGAGCCGCGATAGGAGTAGCAACAAGAATCCCTCAGCAGGTGGGTCCAGGCCAGCCTCAGCAAGGCGCAGTACCAGGACAACCCCAGCAGCAGCAGCAGCCTACACAACAAGTCATCTGGACGGGCTCTCTAGAATGGCATGATGTAAGTTGGTTATTTCAGTATCTCGGCGTCTGTCTGTCTCAAAAGACAATTGAATATTGCGCTAGTTGTACTAGCCAGTTTCTTTGTGTGCAACTCCTGCTATGACTAAACAGTTTAATCCTAGAGAGGCAGATCCTGTTGCAGTTGCTGCAGACAAAAGTCATTTGTGACTGTGCTGTTGAAGCCGTAGCTAGCTGCTGTCTTTGTTGTCTTTTCTCCTCCCACTGTTCTACTTCAGTTATTTCAGTAGGACCTTTGTAATCTTTGTTGAGGAACTTGGGTCTTAATCCCTTCTCTATCATCAGTTGTGAAATGTTCGGTTATTCTGATGGTCTCTCATTCAAGATCATTGCTTTGTACTTAAATTGGGCATGTGACATCGTTCATGGAAATAAAAAGTGAAAATGAAAAAGATTTACCCATTTTCTGATTAATGATGAGGTCACAAGCAAGTTGTTTGCAGTTTACTTTACCTCATGTAATCAAATTTTGGAATCTTCTTTACTAGTCGATCCCATTTAGTTATAAATTCAAAATTTTGTGTTCTGTTTGCATTGTTAGAAGCTTAAACAAGAATCCCTATTAACAAGTTATCACTGGTCTTGCAAGTGCAATGCTTGAAGCTTGTGTTTGTACTTGTACATTGGTTTGTGAAACCAGTGACAAAATTACAGTTTATTACTCTTTCTGATCTATAGTGACACCTTTTGATAGTCAAACCTTAATATCTTCATCATCTTTCAGAGGTCGCGGTCACTCCCAAATGACCAGAAGCAGACGAGAGCGGTCAACTGTCACATCTTAGCCCAACCTGATGCTAACTTGAAGACAGACACCTGGCCCAAACAGCTCATTATGCAGGTCATTCCTCACAAGTTCTTGGTACGTACTAATGTTAAAGCCTATCTGCACTAGTTTGACCAGGAGGGATTAGACCTCCCTGCATGGTCACTGACGGGTGGTTATCTCATCAAATCAGCTATCAGTTAACATTAAAAAAAGGGGATCATGGGGGACCAATGGGTACCGCTTAGGCATTGTTTGCTACATAGAGGGCGCAAGTAACTACAAGTAGCGCAGTCCTGCTTTAATTGGATTCTTATAGAGCCTTGTCCAGGGGATACAAAGCAGTGTCCCTTTGTCTAAGGACAAATTAAGAATTGTTGAGGATGTTTTCAGATGTTTTTTTGTAAGAAGTCAAGTGAAGTACTTTTTCTCAGAAATGCAGGGAGTTTGTTCCATAGCCATGGGGCAACGGATTGGGAGGATTTGAAGCCAGTCTGTTGACAGGATTTGGGAATGAAGAAAGAAGGGCCTTCTACTTTTAGTTGGTACTTGACAGGATCCATCCGTCAGGATATAACATCAAGGTTGAAAGACTGGGAAGGTGCTCTTGTGCAGTGCAGTCAATTGGTGTATTATGTACAGAGTGCAATTAAAAACAGATCTCAGCCATCATTGGCGTTTCAAGAATAGGGCTCCCTGGAAGGTTTCTGCTGTTGCAGTAACCAAGATATCTGGAGGGAGCATGTACCATACTGCCTGATGTATATCAAAGGGAATGTGATATTTTCTTTTTCTGAAGGAGTGAGAAGATGTATAGAGGAAGTGTGGTTGACCACTATTTGAAAATCTGGACGAGAACAAGGATTGTTTTCTCTCAGTTACTGGAAGCCAGGGTAGTTCATTAAACAATAGGGTTTTGCTACGAAGGCTCAACTTTAACTTTATTCACAGGGATCAAACAAACAAACCAACATTCCACTTGTTATCTTTGTATTCTTTTTTATTTTAGCAACAACTTGGATCTCTAGTGAAGAACAACAAGACAGTGTTATTCTCCTTCCCAGACAAAGACAGCGACATGCAGTCCTACAGGGCTCTCATCAGGTCTACACAAAAACCATTTGTAAGTATTTGTGTAGTAGGACTTTATTTAAAGGCATTGTTTAACAATGTTTCCAGTTTTACAAATCTAAGATGTGTTATCAGTGTCTGTGATACAGTGTAATATTCAAGCCCTAAACAAAATTGAGTGACTGGTTTTACCATACTTATTTTTCCCCAATAAACTGTAGTGTTATAAAAAACAGTTGGGGTTTTTGAAATTTTGATTTCCAATCATAAATTTCTTGATGATCCAACATGCGATTGGCTTTCTGACCTAAAGGTTTATAATTATGATTGCAGCGTAAGCTAAATCCAGGTTTTTGTTTGGAATCGGTGGCAAAGTTTCCTAATACCTTTAAGCTTGGGACTAGTATATTACTAAGGGTAGGATAGGCCTCCCAGCATGTGATTTACAGCATACACAGTCTTTCTTTCACAGTTTTCAAAGTTCTTGTGGCTTGTTTAGATATGGCGCGGAAAATTGCTGCAAAGAATAGCTGCTATGGGTTTTTGTATGTGTAAATAAATGGTAAATTTGTGCAACAAAGGACTTGCACTTGCACTCACTGAGCGCTTTCTTTTATTAAGATAGAGAAATATGAAACATATTATACTTAACATCATTAAAAGCACTGCTGTTATGCTTCGCCATGTCTGTACTAGCCTTACTCTACAATCCTATAAAGAATGAATGAAACGGTAGTCTTTCTGTACAAGAGGGGTTTTAATGTATTTACTTCAACAAAATTCTCTATGATATCAATTATTAGATGAGAATCATGTGTGTGTTTCTTATACCGTATTGTGGTGATCCATCATATATATATATATATATATTATTTTATAACTGCAATAGCATACAATAGTATATGGATAGGATTTATAAACGTGACATGGTCTAGTGGATAAGTCATCTGACTGTAGATCACAGGGTACAGGGTTCAAATCCCAGCCCAGCATTAATGTCCTTTGGCAAGACGTTAACGTACATTTGCCACTCTCCACCAAGGTGGTAAATGAGTACCAGGTAGGATGCGAACATTTAATGTAGTTTGATCAGCATTGTGAGGGCCTATAGAATAGTACCTAATTGGATCGCTCCCCAGGGAGTGGAGAATGCGCATACATTGTAGGCGGGCAAGCCTGAATCCGATTACCGGGATAATACTATATCTGTAAAGCGCTTAGAGACATCATCAAGTTATTTAGCGCTATATAAACACAGAATATTATTATTATGTCTCAGATTTTATTCCACCTCAATTTTTTTTTTTGAAATAAGAGGATTTTATTTTTACCTACCATCTCATTTGTATTTTAATTTCATTGTATCCCTTTCTTATGCCTAAACATTGCTTTCTTCTCAACCACTAGGCCGGTTGTGTGCACTTTCCTACCGAGGGTCCCTCAAGCATTCGTGTGCTGATCTTGCTCTACTCCGTACAAAAACTTCAGTTTGTGGGACTGATACCGATCGACCAAGCTGCCTTTGTTAATACCTTCAGAGCCCTAGTCACCAGGCACAAGAAGAATCATGAACAGGTGAGCAAAAGAAAAAAAAATCAGCAGGTTTGCATTTCATATTCTTCATTTTCAAGCCAGTCCATATGTATACTTTGTAACCATGTGAAAAAAAGAATTTAATTTTTCTGGACAATAAAACAAATCATAACAAATATATGCTGTTACCTTCTATTTTTTTTATTTTTAAATATATATTTCGTTATTTCATTTGTATTTTTATTTATATATTTATTTATATATTTATTTATATATTTATCTATATATTTATTTATTTATATATTTATTTATTTATATGTTAATTTATTTATTTACTAGCCATTGGCGCGGTAATGAGTGGTCAGGGTTTGTTTGCATCATGAACTGATTCACACACCCAACCATGTCAAATATCATCTTGTACCTGCAATTCATATTTTTCTAACTTCCATTCTAGAGACAATTCTTCAAGACAATAAATAAAATAAAGCATGTGTGTCACAAGCCCATTCCCAAAATTTCATCGTCATAATGTTTATAAGCTTTTGCTTGCAGTAAACCAATTCATGCACCAAACCATGTTAAAATGTTAATGATCAGATCTTTGTACCGTTGTAACCATCCATACCACCATGTTTCTCATCACATCTTTGACAATATGTACTTTCACAAGTTAAATCATACCTTAAATAGAACCTTCAAAAATCTTGTCGTCATGGTGAAATTATGTATCTACATTGTATCTATGGATACAGCCCTTCCTGTTCTATTAAATTTGGTGCATCAGTTTTTAAAGCATGTTGTGCGTGAATTTTGAATCTCATTTCTACTACTCTATCAGACTCCACCGTCAATGCAACAACAGCAGCAACAGCAACAGCAGCAGCAACAACAGGTAAGATTGCAGCAACATGTGGTTTTATATTTTCATATTTTGTATTATTATGTTCAAATGTACTGTTATTTGTATTGCGGTATTATTAAAAGTAAATATTAATTTTCACCTATGAAATGAACAAATTTTCTAGAAACATTGAAGGATTTAGTTTTCCCCCCTTTTTAAGTTGAACTGATGAATGAGTTAATTATTCTCACAGCAAACTATAAGAACTATAAGCTCAAGAAAGATGACCAACAGTCCTTTTCAGGACTACACACACACTCAAGAGAGAAGGAAAGATTAGAGGCAGTCCTTTTCAGGACTCCCCAATCCTCGCCCTCTCTCACATGGTGCAAACGTAAGCCTACTGTATATCTACATCACCATGCAAGCCATTACTTATAAGCAGCATCTAACAAACTGTTGAAGAACACGTTTAAAAACATGAAATATATTATCAAAAATAATATCGCTAGTGACATTCGTTTGTCTCGTAATGTATGGTCAACAAGGGATCAAAAGATCACGACGTTTCGTGCGCCGCTGCAACACTTCGTCAGGTGATGAAATATATTGAAAGCAAGCGTCTTTTATACTCTACGGGTAGAGTTTGCGAGACAAACGAATATCACTAGCGATATTATTTTTGATATTATATCCGCAATGAGTAATATATTTAGCATTATGAAATATATTGCTTGTATTGCAGAGTAATCAACAACAACAGCAGCAGCAACAGCAGCAGCAACAACAGCAATCCCAGGCACAGTCTGCCGCTGCTGCTGCAGCCTCAGCAGCAGCCGCGGCAGCAGCAGCAGCTGCAGCAGCCAGGCAGAAGGCAGCCCAACAAGCCCAAGCCCAGGTCCAGGCGCAAGGGTCTGCACCCCAGTCGGCGTCTGTCGCCTCCTCCTCCGCGAGCTTCAGCAACGCACCGACGGTTGCGAGCGCTTCTGCCGCTCAGCAGGTGAGTCACAGAAGGATGCAGAGGTTTAGTAGTGGAGAGGGTTTAGATTTGGGAGGTCGGGGGTTAAAAACCAGGGGGGTGTTTCACAAAACTTGTCGCCAGTGACAATTGACAGTTTTTGTTATAAGCTAGTGAAATCCTTGCCTCTGATTGATTATCAGCAAACTTGCCACTGATATTTGTCACTTGTTATTGAAAAAAGGCTTTGTGAAACGCCCCCCCCCCTTCTAATGGGAGCCAAATTGGTTGTACATCTTTCCAGTCAATCACAAACTTACGAGCTCTTTGCCCTCATGTGTAAAAAGTTACGTTGAAAGACATCTCAACAAATTGTACACATGTTGATTTTAAACCAATAGGATTCGTGTATTAGGGACTTTTAGTTGCATTTAAATGTAACATTTTACGCAAAAGAGCCCTTAACTTTCATTTACAGGTTTGCAATTGATTTCACTCCATAGTAACACGGATAGCATGCTCTAGTGCCCTTGGGGAAGGCATTTACCCTCAAGTTTACCCTATGAAGGATAGGACCAGGGGAGTGTTTCACAAAGATCCTAAGTCGAACTTAACTCTAAGTTGGACTTAAACATTATGGAGAGCCGTTTGAAGCCTTAAAATTAATTATGTTCAAAAGCGAATATTCAAGTATTTCAGACTTTTTATAAATTCCACATCAAGAACATGAAATCTCCTTGATAATAGAAAATATGAATGATTCGAATAAACATTTTATGCCATTTGAAATAACTTGTACAAATACTTTCATAGAGGCTTTCCATAATTCCAACTAACAGATAAGTTCAACTAAGGATCTTTGTGAAACACCCCCAGAAGTCACATGGTCCCTCTGTCTGGACTTCTCCTGCAAACTGTATGCAGTCACCAAATGTTGTGTGATTTCATGCGTGGGTATATAGTTGTTTGTGAAGTAGGCAACTTGGCGATCACTCCTGATCACTCCTGTACACTGAGCCAATGAGACGTATGCTCCTGTCTGTATGGCCATGTGCTGCCCTCTATATACCCATGCTTGAGTAACTTTAAGATTGAATCAACAGATGTTCCTCTTTAGGAAGAGCTATTGAATCACCATTCTGAGAAGTATGTTGTCACCATGCAGAAGACCTATGAGGAAGCAGAGTTTGGATAGCTTCAGTTCTTTATTCATCCAAATTCACAAGAATACATGGACATTTTGTTGGCCACACATTGTAAAAATCTGTAATATATATATATATATATATATATGAGAAACTATATCGTTACGTTTATAATCATAAAAGAACCATCAAAATATAAGGTAGACAAAATAGAAATATTCTTATATTCTAGTATTACACATCGAAAATGATGAAAAAGATAGAACATCAGTTTGAAGGAAGGAAGGAAAACCGCAGCAAACGATACTTCGGGACCACATGCTCCTTAGTCCATTTGATTGTACAAACGAGCGGAGTATTGAACATATGAGCCCAAATATCGGCTTGTCCAACATTGCATTTCACTCTCCTTCCTGACAGTAATAATTCATATGAGTAATTTAGATTGTGATTCTCATTTGCAATGATCTGTTTAGCTTTTTTGAGGATTCGTGCCTTGCATTCTTCTGTCAGATTTCGTCTAGTTCCTGTTATTTTACCTCGCCCTCTTGACTACACATTCCACTTTCCTAGAGTCATCCTTCAGGGCAATTGTTTTCAAATGACTTTTTATACCATATATGACTCACTTGTGTGTGGTGTGGTTTGTGCTTTTAACATTTTCATATGACATCTACATATTACATCTACATTTGTAGTGGTCCATTTGATCTAACATCTTTATTACTGTCATAATTTTGTGTACATACATTTTAAATTTTGTTGAGGTGTCTTGCGTCGTTCAAGTTTAAGGTTTTGGGGGGCCTAATACCATAACATCCTCATACTCTCAGGCAGTTTTAATACATTTCCATTGTTCATGAAGTGAATTGGGTTGTTACTGAAGTGCATGTATCAAGGTATGTTTGGTTTGATGTTGTAACTGTAAAATGGTAACTGTTGATCTTCAGGTGTCGAACTCCTGTGACATCAAAATCTAGTGATCGATTGCAATTTTCTCTTATCAGTCCAATGTCGATTTGATCTGTTCCAAGAATTCACCTAAGCCTTTTCTGAAAGACAATTCGATTTTTCAAAAGCTAATTCATGTATTTCATTATGAGAAATCCAGATGAAGTCAGCATGATTTTTTTAAACAGGTTTTGTGGTGAATTTGTTGTACAGTCAAACCTGCTTTACTGACCACCTGTCTCCAATGACCACTTTTTGTGTTTCCCTTGGAGGTCGCTATAGACAGGTTTGACTGTATATGTACCAGTAGAATTCATGGGAACAGAGAGCAGAAAGATCTGAAAGCTCAAACAAGAGTTGGAAAGAGCTTTCCAGGAAATTGATGAAGGAAATATTGCCCCCAAGGAAACGTCCCCATGTCTGTATTAAACAATCTTGAAAAAATCTGAAGTAACAAAAGGTCATTTTTGCACGACAAATTGGCAAATCTGAAATTGCAATCGATCACTGGTTTTAAAACCAGGTATTGTACATGGTAACTCCTACATGTATGTGGTCTGAAGATTTAAGAGTCGAGGGACCAGCAAACCGACTATCCATTTTTGGACCGATAGAAAATTATTAGGATGCCAGCTTTTTTTGCGTAAAGCGGATAGGGGTGTGAGTGCTTTAATAGGGGGAGGGGAGATCATAGATCATAAGAGAAGGGGTTGTCACTTTCCGCTGTGAGTGTTCATGAATATGTCATTTATCCATGCTGTTTTACAGCTTCCATCTTGTTCCATAACTCTCATTGTCTCTCCATTTAAACACGACAGCAAGCACAGCCGCCGCCGCCGCAACAAACAGGAAAAACCAAACAATCCAAGATCCTGGTTGAGAGAGAAAGAGAAGCCAATCTTGTAAGTCAAGCTTCAGTCAGACATGACGCGGTAAACCATCCCCCAAAAAAGAATAATGCCCTGCGCTGCAAAAACAACGCTACAGGGATGCCAGTTTTCAGGCAATAGCATGAATTTAGGCCCTGGCGAATTATTTTCAGGCCATAGTGTAGGTTTTGTGCACAAAATAGCTCAGAGTTGGTGATTTTCAGGCCCTCTGATCAGTTCTTACTGGCATCCCTGATGCTAGAAGTGTGGCAAATTGAAAGAGATAACATGAAATTGTGTCACAGGCACGCGTGCTTGTTTACAGGTCAATTCATGGAGCTTAGTTCCCTCTTTGATATTCACCGTAGTTGACAATATTATTCTGGGTAAATATAGCGTTTAATACATCAATGATATCTCTAAGCGCTTTATTAATTCAATTCAGTTTCTTCAATTCCAATAAAATATACAAAACAGAATACAATCATGACAGAATAACAGTATAAATCCATCAAGAGTATGAAATATGGTAAGGTAAAAATATAAAACAATAAAGCGATAATATTTATTATTACAGGTACACCCTACTCTGTACCATTTAACACATGGGTGGAGATTGCAAATGTGTGCGTTAGTACCGGGCTGAGATCAGAACCCCAAACCCTTAGATGGAGAGTCCAGTGCAAGAACCACTATACCTCAATACATCCCTCTCACATACAATCACAACAACACAACACAATAGGAGGGAACTATCTTGGGAGTGAATTTGACTTGTGTATGAGCACAACTTCCTGTGGCATAACTGTCTCTTCTCTACTAGCTATGGAAATACATGCCATGCGCTTCAAATTTCTGTATCTTATAACTCACGGACAAGTGCAGGGACTTATTACGCGTAGATACTCTTTTCATTCCCCCACATGCCGTTCAAGTACTCGTAAAATAGTTTTTATTTTTCTGAAGAGGTTTACCGTGTCATGTATGAGTGAGCCTAACAAAGGGGCAGGAATGCTTGTGCGAAAATCCTCCCTGGACAATTCTGGAAAATGGCTATCAGTGACAAATCTTCTATAAATAGATACACCCCTGTAGCAGTCGTGGAAAGTGTTTGTAATTGTTCGCTTCAAAATGCAACGCAACCGCTGAACAAATCTAAAAAGTATTTTTTGCACCCACTTTATAGTTTATAGGAGCACAGGAAAACTTGACAGAATACTCCCCGGGAAACACACCTACGGTACTGACTAAGAATTGAAAAAATGTTTTAGAGAATATTGGTTATGATTTACATGCGCTTCAAAATGCAGCTTGGTGTATAACAAGTAGGAGGGAATTAAAAAAATATCACTGCCCAATGTAAAATTAAGAAATGTTGTGAACATTTTTGTTTTCAAAATGCTCTCAGGAACTAAAAATGACGAAAAAAACTAAAAAGAATACTGAAAAATCTTTGAGTTACCAACAATGTCACCTAGCAATATTATTGAACAAGAGTGGCTAATAAATTTAAGGCAAATGCATTTTTGTGGAGAAGAACATTCTCATTATTAGACATCTAAATACTGGTTTAAATTCATTTTCAATCTCATTTTATCGATGAGTGAATTAGGGTTATTTTTTAGTTAAGTTTATAACCCCCATTGGGGGAAAAAATGTTTTTATCATCCAACAATGATCCAAGTTCATGTTTGAGTTTAATGTTAGGATTTTTAAGTGTGATTTTCAAGTTTGGATGTTCAAATGATATTGTACTGTAAAGGGCGAGTTCTATTGCTTTGGGAATAACAATGCACTTGCCATGTTTTCAGTTGATACTATGGGAAGATGATGTTAACCCTAATATTTTAATTTTAAGTATATGTATATGTGGATGTACATGTACGTAGCGTGCTAGGATTAATTTTAAGTGCCAAATATGGGTTTTGTTACTGTTGGTCTACATACTAGAAAAATCTTGAATTAACAGAACTTTTCCTTGTCACTAACTGAGTGTCACAAATCAACAAACAATAATATAATTATCAATAAATATAGTACACAATATGTGGTAATATTAAAGTAAATATGTTTGTAAAAAATTTGCACGAATATCAGAAAACGTCCTGACTAGAAAATTTAGAAATGTTCTGTTGCAAGAAAAGTACTGTACATGTTGCTTTTTTGTTTCTCCTGCTTAAAGCCCCAATGTACTACTTGTATCTACTTGCTCCCTCTTTATAGAAAACAATGCCTAATCGGTGACCATTGGTCCCCCATGATCCTCTTTTTCTTAAGTTAATTGAGAGCTGAGTTGATGAGATAGCCACCTGTCAGTGACCTCCCTGGGTGGTCTAATCCCTCCTAGCCAAACTAGTACAGATGGCCTTTAAATTGATACAGTATCATTCAATTTGGATAAAGACAAAGATTCAGAAAAGTATTTTGTATAATAGTCTTCCCTGCAGGCACCTCCATTAGTAAATTACTGTGTGTTATAAAAAGCTGCAGCTATGCTTAACCCTGTATTAAAATACCGGTACTAATTACCTACATGTAATCCAACATTTGTGTTCAAGATACACCCTACAGGTACAAGTAAACATTTACTTATTACTTATTACTAAATGAAACAAATACATCACTAACTATTATAATGTAATACACAGAAAAGTTATTTTGTCAAACAAATTGTGCAACCAATTCCAAGGAGGAAAAAAGGGGGAGATATATCATTTAGAAAAACTCTTAGATAATTTCTGTTTACCGGGTAATGAGAAAACAATTATTTAAACTTTCTTCTGTCTAAGGCTCATATACAGTATATGAAACCTCTTTTGGGGAAACGTGTAGAATCATGAGAGGGTATCATTAACCGTTAATGCGCCAGCTTTTTTATACCGACCGAGAAAGAAATGTAATTGTATGATCTATCCCAAACTGTCAATGTTTCTATGTAATGAAGTACCCAAACAAGCATATCCCTGTCAAAATACTGATTCAAAATACAACACATTCTGAACAATACAACAAGCCAAGTAGCGAGTAGACAGCTTTATTACCGATTCAAGTTTTAATACAGGGTCTTGGCAGCTTAAGGGTTAACAGAATATTGGGTAAAAGTGTTATGAGAAAATAGTTCAATACAGTAGGAGAGTATTTATTTGAGAGAGTAGTTTGGTACTGTGTGTAGCTTTATGTTGCTTGCAAAGATTGCTCTTTCTGCTTCACAAGACGTTTCATCTTGTGATGTTCTTATGTTCCTTGCTTTTGTTTGTTTGTTTGTCTGGTTCATTTGTTGCCATGGTGTATGTTGCATTGTATTACCTTCCTTATTCTTACATGAAGCTACCATTCTGTACTCGGTGTGCCTTTTCGTGGTTCGTTTCCATCAATAATCCTTTTTATTATGTTTATTTTAATAACTTATTAAACCTTCTTTTCTTGCTTTCTTTTTGTCTGTTTTCTTTACTGTATATTATGCTGTTTCACATGTTATATTAATTTATTTTCCCCCCTTTTATCCCTCTTTTATCCACCTTTTATCCCATAAAAAGTTAAGCTATTCATTCTTTTGCCTCTTGAAACTTTATGTACATGTAAAAACTGTATATATGTTGGCTTGTTGAATATTTTGCTCCCTGCATATCTGTGCCTTATACAGCTTACACTTATTGCATTATATCCATGTTGATAAAGCAAATTTGTTATTTCTCTTTCTCTTTTCCTCTCTTTCTCTTTCCTTTCTTTTTATTTCTTTGTATTTCTCTCCTTATTTTGTTCATCCCTCTCGTCTTATCTCTCTCCATCTTATTTAATTTTTGTTTCTGTTGCTTGCTGTCTCCCTCTTCTGTCATTACTTTTCTCTTTCTCTCCTCCCTTGTCTCTTTCACTCACACTCTCTCGTTGCTCACATTCTCCTTTCTCTCTCTCTCTCTCTTTCTCTTTCTCTTTCTCTTTCACTCACACTTTCTTATTGCTCACATTCTCCTTTCTCTCTCTCTCTCTCTCTTTCTCTTTCACTCACACTTTCTTATTGCCCACTTTCTCCTCTCTCTCTCTCTCCCCCTCTCCCCCCCCCCTCCCCTGTCTATTTCACTCACACTCTCTCGTTGCTCACATTCTCCTTTCTCTCTCTCTCTCTCTTTCTCATTCACTCACACTTTCTTATTGCCCACTTTCTCCTCTCTCTCTCTCTCCCCCTCTCCCCCCCCCCCTCCCCTGTCTATTTCACTTACACTCTCTCGTTGCCCACTTTCTCCCTCTCTCTCTCTTTCTCCCTCTCTCTCTCTCTTTCTGTCTCTCTCTGTCTCTCTCTGTCTCTCTCTCTCCCTCTCTCTCTCTCTCTGTCTCTCTCTCTCTTACAGGCTATGATCAACAAACTCACAAAAGAGCTGCAAGCCGCCAAACAACGAGAATACGTCCTCCAATCCAGAGTTCCCGTCCCCGGCCAAGGGGTAGGACGAGGGGGCGGCGGTGGGGGTGTAGGTGCACCCATGATGCCGGGCGGAGCCATGCAGCAGGGTGGACAGGGGCAACCCCAGCCACGCATGCCCCACATGGGCCAGGTCCGAGGGGCGTCGCAGATGGGCGTGGCCACCGGTGGACACCAGGTACCGGTCCAGAGCCAGCAGTTGGCTAGCAATAGTCCCCTCCTCAGAAATATCGTGAGTGGATTCTGGAGAGGGGGTAAAGGGACTGTTAACTCCTAATATCCAATCCAATCAGGGAATTAAAAGGACCAATATCTAGCGGCCTAATCAAAGGTGCTGATGAGACTGAAAAACTACCAAAAATGTCTGTTCATGATTCTAACTGAGAAAGACAACAAAGCAGTGACTAATTGTAAGCAATCTGAAATGCAGCCTCTGTAAGCCAACCAAATGCTATCCCTGCGCCACATTGTGTTTATCATGGCACAGATATATGGAAGGTTTCAGGATTATGTAACTCCTCCAGTGCAAGATTAATCTTTAACGGTATTAAAAAGATTGCCGTGGAGCTAATCGAGACTGGATATGGGTAGTTTTGCAAAGCCATTGCGTCATTCAAAGCAACCTTCAGTCAATTGGTGTTTATTTTTGTGTGCAAAATTGCATGTGATGCAAATGAGCGATCAGGAGTGTGGAAATATGTCTATATCCCTTTAAAGGGACTTGGTAACATTGTAACTCTCAGAGTTGTTGTATTTACACAAACGAAGAAAATAACACATTAAAAACTAAGTTAAATAAAGGGAGGGATATGATGGAGCCTAAAGAGAAAGCGATGCTTGTAGGTCATAGGCTCCGGAAGTTATAACAATGATATAGTCTTGTGTATCAAATAACGTAATAGGATTAAATTGGTACTTATTCTGAGGAAAAGGTAAACATTGGTTGTATACTAATAGCAATATTTGTAATGCATTTTCACTACCTGTACACAATGGCAATTCTCATAGGAGCATACCAAAATGTTGGCATAATTTGACAGTGTCACTGGCTGTGTGTCAGTAAAGTGCAATGTTACGCTTAGAAAAATTAAGTGTAGCTGGCTGGCAAAGACACTGGTTGGCAGCAATGACGCCAACATCATGGTATAATTGAAATTCAATTCAATTCAATTCAATTCAAATGAACATTTATTTTCTTCCAAACAATACAATTTATAAGTAGGAACATAAATATAATTAAAGAACTTGTATTACAAGGAAGAAGGCACGAAACCCATTCATTCATTCATTCATTCCATGACCCATATGTGTGGTACCATTGTTAATATTTTGAATTTTTTGATGTTGAACCACCACAGGGACCACAAGGCCAGCCACAACAGATGCAGTGGCAGCAATCCGGGCAACCCCAGCAACAGCAGCAGCAGATGATGATGCAGCAACAGCAGCAGCAGCAGGGCGGGGGTATGGTTCGACCCCAGGGGGGCATGGGGCAGCCTGGGCAGGGAGGAGGAGGGGGCATGATGTCATCAGAAGATATGAGCTTAGTGGATCTTTTGAGTTCTCGAGATGGGAATAACTCGTCACATATGTAATGAGAGAGAGTGAGAGATTATAACAAGCAAATACACCTATATAAAGGTTACAGAAAGAAGGAAAGATAATGACAGAGATATATATATATATATATATATATGTATATGTATAGCTTGAGAGTGGAGGAAGCTCGGAAGAAGTTCCTTCATTGAAAATAAGCGAAATTGGAGAAGTAACTCTGTAAGATATTACTAAAGAGACCTGGTGGGTGTTTCACAAAGATCCCAAGTTGAATTTATCTCTAAGTTGGACTTAACGATTATTGAAAGCCGTTTGCATCTATGAAAATATTTTGTAAAAGTTGTTTTAAAAGGCATAACATTTGTATTCTGATTCATTCATATTTTCTATTATCAAGGATTTTTCATGTTCTTGATGTGGAATTTATAAAAAGTCCAAAACACTTGATTTTTCACTTTTGAATATATGTTACTTGAAGGCTACAAATGGCTCTCCATAATTTTTAAGTTAAACTTAAGAGTTAAGTTCGACTTAGGATCTTTGTGAAACACCTCCCAGAGCAGTGTTAATGACCCTCTCTTAAATCTAAGCTTTTCAACATCTTGTAGAAATTTGTGTTTCTGAAATAGCCCATGTTTCAATGGAATCATGTCCACAAACTTTAGACAGTTTTGAGAAACTTGCCCCTGGGGACAATACTTGTACATGTGGCCACAGTATTTTCTAATCAACTAGAACTTGGATGAAACCCATGGAAAGTTAATGGAAAACTGCAAATGAAATAAATACCAATGAGGTGGAGAAAACTGAAAATGAAATACATAGCAAAAATGGAGAATATTAAGAGAGAGTTGAGGGCAGTTTGAAAATACCCATATAGAATAGTGACAGGAATAGAGAGAGAGAGAGAGAGAGGGGGGAGGGGGTGGAGAGAGAGATCATAGCATATAGGATGAGAGACTGCTTTTAGAGAGCAAAATAGAAATAGAAATACAGTCAAACCTTTCTATAGCGACCGCACAAGGGGAACACCAAAAGTGGCCTTTGTAGACAGGTGGTCACTAAAGCAGATTTGGCTGTACAATGGAAGTAAAATATGAAATTTAAAAAAGGAGTGAAAAGATAGGCTATATGGCATTGAAGAGCAATGGCAAAGAAGAACAAGATATATTTTGTTTAAAATAAAGGTTCCCCATTCCTAATATCCTTTATCTTTGAAGGCAATTAACCACTTTATGCAACGCGTGTGATCTTACAAAAAATGTATTTTTTGCTATTCAATCTACTCACATAAAATTCAGTGTGCATGAAGGTTAAATCCAAGGTAACCGTATGTTGTGGGCTTTAACCCGTAGACTTCTGGATAGTTCTCATTCCCATAGACTTTACACAGGGACCAACCGGTTCCTGTAGACAATGGGTTAAGACGGATCATCTTTTCCATTTTATTCTTGTAAATTCATTTGAATTTGTCAAATCAGTTTTTTAAGGTGATTTTTAGCTTCATGCGTACAAATAATATTTTTTTGGTGTGTAATCAGTTTCTTTTAAAGAGATTGTTGATTTCTGGTATGGGTGGCAAATAATTTCGAGAGCATTCTCATTCTTTGGTTGTTAGTATGGAAGAATATCGCGTAGAAGATCCCAGATAATATTTGCTCTTCAATTGCCCTCTTTAACAATGAATACCAAACTTGCATGTGACTTTTGTCTGTAGTCCCATATACACGTTTATTTGTACAGTGAATGTGACTTTCAAAAAAACTGAGTCATTTTCTTATCATAATAATGATACCTCACCTTCACAGTATACACAAACTCTTGTCTGTATATGCTACATGTACAGGTACATACATAATCAGCCTTTACAGAAAGTTTATTTCACAATGCTATTACATAACCAGAAATAACTTTACACTTTCTTTTGAAGTACTAAAGGGGTCGAGGTTACATCACACTTCTGTCATTCAACCTTACTATTTGCATAGTCTGTTATCCTTAAAGATAATGGTAATGTTTTATTAAAAATTCATTTGCAGCCAGATGGCTGAATTGCAGAATTTTGTACACACCAACTCCTGCCTGTATCTGCTACATGTACAGATACGTACATAATCAGCCTTTACAGAGAGTTTATTTCACAATGCTATTACATAACCAGAAATAACTTTACACTATCTTTTCAAGTACTAAAGGGTCGCGGTTACATCACACTTCTGTCATTCAACCTTACTATTTGCATAGTCTGTTATCCTTAAAGATAAAGTTGAGTTCTGTGCGATTATCTTGTAAAAGAAACTGTCTCAAGGCAATTGGAAGTTGTTGATGATGTAGTACAGAAGAATTGGTGTGTACTGTGAAGATTTGAAATTGTTAAAATGATAAGATATTTACTCAATATTGCTGAAAGTCTTTAATACACTGCACCCAGAAATGTGCATATGGGACTACACACACATATGTGGCATGAAAGTTTAATCCAAACTTTTTCAGCTATTTCTGTGTACAGTGCTTGTAACTTCACCAAGACTGGGCCAAATTTCTTATCATTTTGATGATTCCAGAACCTTGCAGTACACACCAATACTTATATGCTAGATGATCAACCTTTCTGATCGATTCCACACCGTTTCTTTCACAATGCAATGGCATGACCAGAACTCAACTTTATCTTGATAGCCGGTGGTCCCAGGGTGCTTGCTTTATACAAGCATACACATGCTTTCTTAGAAGTCGGGTAAAAAAAACAAAAGAACAAGCAAACTCACAATTTTGTACCACTTTACCAGACCTCGCCCTTCTCTTAACCCCAACATTATGCATCAGTCAATAGTGTCCAGCATATTTGAGATTAGACAGGGTTTTTCCATGGACCCTTGTCAAGGAGGCTAAATAGTGACCATGATCTGGTTTGGTTAAAGACACTGTCGGAAGTTACAAATTTAATAGAAAATTATACACATAAATTACAATTATATCAGTAATATGCTATTTTAGTGTTTGCCAGAGGAGTATTTACAGCTCTCTGAAAATTTAAAATCTAAAGCTTTGAATATCGGAAATTGTCGACCTAAACATGAGCTATCGACTTGATGACATCATCTTATGTGGAGTACACACATTCAAAATAAATTTGCATGAATTACGCATGGCTCATCGCCTCAGCTATATAGGTGAACCAATCGGGTCCATGTTATGTTATCACCGTAACTGCTGGGCAATTCCACGGTAACGGAAGGACACTCAGACAAGATTTTTGAACTTCAGGTTCATACTAAAAGAACTGTTTTATTAGTATAAGATGTGAAACAGTACAGATATAATACCTATATAAGTGCCTTTAATTCTCCCCAAAAAAATTGTCATTATAGTTAAGTAGTTTAAGAATGTGCATATTAATTATCTCGGTAACGGAAGGACATAAAAATGGACATGGTTTTTCCAGTTAATTAGTGTTTATCCAAACTTTGTGAAGTTGATGAAGCTTTCCACTTGACTGAAACACATTTTGTTCCCCATAGTTTAATACATACTAATAAAACAGTTCTTTTAGTATGAACCTGAAGTTCAAAAATCTTGTCTGAGTGTCCTTCCGTTACCGTGGAATTGCCCTGCTGCAAATTTGACCCCTGCATGTTGGCCCATAATTTGGAGGGATGCAGAAAATGAAGTTTTAATGTGCTATTGTGCAATACTGGAAGGGAAAATATATTTTATTCCTTTACATTTGTATTCTATGTTCATTCAGCTTTCCATTGATATAAAGTTGTATTTCCATTGGATAGGGTCTTTAAGCAGCCAGAGATACATAGCCAATGGTTGCCGGTTCAGAGTACACATCCTAATACAATGAGGTGAGGTCTTGTTTAAGCAAAGGCTTAAAGAAAGGTGACATTTAGATGTGCTTGTGTCTGACATTTGTGTGTACTGGCCCAGAATAGAAACCAAATTGAATAATTACGGTGAAAGATGTAAACTGCCTCGTCAGAAATCTTCTCAGAATTTTCTGAGTTTCCATCATGCTTCTTGACCTTTTAAACTGCTTTTATCTGCTTTGTGGGCTTATTTGCAAAGTACTGGTAGTTTTTTTTTTTTTTACTTGAAATATGGCTTAGATTAACTTAATTGTTGGCTTAATTACTTTATTAAAAACAAGATCTTTTTTTCAGTATCAGTGGGTCATCACCTTCTATGATAACATTCTTTTTGAGAGGCCTTTAAACTTAAAATTGAGCTGTGAAAATATCTTGAAAGTTATTGAATAATTCTTTAATTTAAACTCTGATCCTCAAGTTGGTTCAATCTTTGTGAAAGATAGATACAAGATCTCCTAGCAAAATTGATGCTCCTTGTTCATAATTCACATACACAATAAATCTTTGATAATGCCTTTCAATCATGTATACCACTATGATTTGGTGTATGGACATCGATAAAACAATGTATACATAATTTCATATACGAGTAGTCAAATATAGATTTTACTTTTCGTTTGAATGACCAACTTCATGATCATGAAGATAAAAAAAAAAGCCTATATAAAGCATTTCAATATCTTTGCCAATCATCTATTGAAATTTGCAAATTTTTGTTTATACAATGACTATTATGTCATCTGAACTTGATTTCTGTGGGATACACAGTAGGGTATCAAAATTGCCTTTGAATTGATTTCTCGGAAGCCTTTGAGAACATGAAGTCAAGTGTAGCTTGTAATAGACTAGTTCATAGTAAGCTTTTGTAGAAATGACCCCTGAATATCCACAGATCTTTTACACATAAAGTGATCCCACTTTGTAAATTTTAGAATAATCATTGCCAAAGTGATGGAGGTGCTTTATGAATACCTTTTTTTCCCCTCTTGATAAGAATCATTCCACATGTGTTTCATAGAATGCACCAATGAATGGTAATAACATAACTTTCATGGGCACGTATCCAGTATTTGTTTTCAGTGGGTTTCACAATTTTGCGAGTACAAATGACCTTTATCTGCCCATACGCAGATTGTATCTATGAACTGGGACCCGTTTCACAAAGCCTTTTTTAGATGCCAAATGACAAAACTCAGTGACAAATCTGTCGATAACCAATCAGAAGCAAGGATTTTACTAGCTTATAACAAAAACTATCATTCGCCACGTTTTGTGAAATGGGGCCCTGGTCTATTGCTCTGAGCAGTCTCTCACCTGTATATACTTAGGAATATGTACTTTTACTACTTTTGAAGGAAACCTTTTTTTATGTATATTATGTACAGGTTAAGTTTAAGTACACTTCTTTCCTCTTGTTATGTTAAATTCATTTATAATGCAAACTCAAACTAAGCTTGTTGTTTATATCA